CTCCGGACTGGGCCCCCAGGCCGCCCGCAGCCCCGACCAGCCGTATCTGGACAGGAACCGCTGGGGGAGAGAAAGGCACCCTCATCTGGGCCGCCTCGGTCCGGGCCCTCCCGGGCTGCCCCAGAGTCTGGAGAGACAGAGACATGGGGGGAGACACAGAGACAGACAGAGAGACAAAGACAGACAGAAGCTGAGAGACAGCCAGGGAGAAACAGATGGAGATAGCAATAGAAATAGGGAGAGAGATACAGAGAGAGCAGCAGTGAGGGACAGAGACAGGAGGGAGGTGGACAGGAGAGAGCGAGCGAGTCCTGGGCGCCTTCCTGAGTGCGGCCCTGGAGGGGCACCAGGCTGAGTCAGAGGCGCCCCAGGCCCGAGGAGCAGGAGACCTGGGCAGCGAGGTGGGCGAGTGCCGGGAGGAGGTAAGAGGTCGGCGCAGGGGGGAAGGAAGACGCTCCCCGAGGCCGTGGGGGGCAAGTCGTGGGGGGCAGGTGGGGGTGCCAAGGAAGGCCGGGCGTGGCCACACCGCAGAGAAGGCCATGGTGAGGCATGTCCTGAGAGCTGGGAATTCGAACTGAGGGGCTTGGCAGTGGTTGGGTTTGAAGACCCGGGGGTTTCCTCGTGGCCTCACAGAGGGAGGGAGGTCGGCGGCCTCCATGGTGCTGAGGGCCTGGCTACAGGGCGACTCTCCTGTTCTCTGCCCTGGCCTCTGGGGCACCATGGGAGCTGGGGATTGAACTTGACCCTGAGCATCAGCTCCTGGCCTATGGTGACCACAGGACCACGTGCCAGGGCAGGTCAAGGGATCTCATGGGTCCACTCCCTGCCCCCAACCACGACTCTCCGGAGGAGGGGATCGGCTGCATCGGACCTCTGGGTGCTTCACCACAGACTCAGGTGAGGTCCACGGATGCCACCCCAGACAGCTCTCTTAGGATCCTCACTATCGCGGTGTTGGGGAACCTTGCAGGGCTGTCCCCTTCTCTACATCCAGAGACTGGCATGGTGAGCAGCCACAGAAAACCTTCCGACAGTGCCTTGGCCACTACAGTATCACATGCTTGCCTTTGGAAAGGCACTTGGCATTTCAGTCTGTTGTCTGTGCATGGACATTTCTCTCTCACTAGGGCTGACCTGTGGGGTTGTCGAATCAGGTTAACATTGGATTCATGGTTGTTCAATAGGAGCCACAGGAGCCACTCCTCCCTCCCAGCCCAGCCTGCGTGGCCCTTCTCTGCCTCGGCACAGTCGGCATCCTGGCCTGTGCCTGTGCGTGCGTGTGCACGTGCCTGTGCCTGTGAGAGCATGTGCATGCGCCTGTGTGCATGTGCCTGTGTGCACATGCGTGCGCCTGGGGGTGTTGCTATTCTTCCAGCTTCCTCCTACCTGAGCAGCGTGGAGGTCGGCAATGGGCTTGGCCTGGCGCAGTGGGGATGGCTCCAGGTCCGAGCGGTCCCGGCTGTGGAAGAGGCTCTCAGGCTGGGTGGACCAGGGAGCAGTCAGCCAGCAGAGCAGCAGTGTCGGACGGAAGATGGAGGCGGCGAGCATTGGCCTGGTCTGAACCCTTGCCCTCCCTGCCTGCTTCGTCCCCGTCCCCGTCACCTCTCCTTAAGGAGCAGAACCTAGGGTGGCTTTTATAAGCCGCCCAGGAGGGAGCACCCAGGTTTCCAAGCATTTCTCACCCAGCCCTGAAGTGTGCCCACTAGGAGGCCACGTGGCAGGCCATGGGCGTGCTGCCTTTGAAGACCCCAGGCTCACCTTTCTTGTTGGTGTGAGAACTCCTCTCAGCCTCCGGAGTTTGCCACCTCCCCGGGTAATGATGTCCTACAGTTGCCAGTGCCTGTGGGTTCCATTTCTATGGAGATGTACTGTGGGCAAGTTTGCCGCTAAATGAGCTGTGGAATTAACAGAGGCACGAGACTGCACCCCTAACAACGTGCCTCTCAGATCTGAGCCTGAGTTTAAAACGCTGACCGTTAGTTTGCTTACAGTTTGGGTCGCTTTTTTTTTCTTGGTGAACTGGGGTTTGGAGAGTTTTAGTTTGTTTCGCAGACTTCTTTTGTGTGGCTTTTCTTCTTTTTGTTTCTGTTTATATAAAGGAGATCTTCTCAGTAGATAGTATAAGTTGTAAAAGTACTGAGAACGTCTGTGATTCTGGTGGTGACATTTCAGTGAACATTCTTGCAGATACATATGCGCAGGTGCCTAGAAAAGTATTTGTGTGTGTCTCTCATTTTACATGAACTCTATTCTATTCCTTTCAAGTCAGCACAATGTTACAGGCACTTTTCTGTTTCTGAATGTAAGTATTTATCGTCCCAGTTAATGACTGCACAGTGTCCCATTCTGTGGGTAGAGATTTGTATACGAGGATAAACTAGAATCACCTCGGCCGGCTCACTTTCCCCTCATGGAGAAGCCTCAAGTTTCTCTGGGATCCTAAAGACAGAACCTTCCCTGAACTGGGCTTTTATTTGAGCAGACGTCCTCCAGAGAGTGCAGACTGACTGGGCCACAGCTGTCCGTGGGAATATGGAGAATCATAGAAATATGGAGAGACCAGGTGCAGTGGCTCAGACCCATAATCCCAGCGTTATGGGAGGCTGAGGCAGGAGGACTGAGACCAGGAGTTTGAGACCAGCCAGGGCAACACAGTGAGACCTCATTTCTACCAAAAAATGTTTAAAAATTAGCTCGGCATGGGCCGGACGTGGTGGCTCACACCTATAATCCCAACACTTTAGGAAGCCAAGGGGGTGGACTGCTTGAATCCAGGAGTTCAAGACCAGCAAGAGTTCAAGACCAGCCTGGGCAACATAGTGAAACCCCATCTCTACTAAAAGTACAAAAATTAGCCAGGTGTGGTGGCATGCGTGCCGACAGTTCCAGCTACATGGGGGAGCTGAGGCTGGAGGATCACTTGAGCCCAGGAGGCTGAGGCTGAAATGAGTCGAGATCACACCACTGCACAACAACTTGGATGACAGAATGAGACCGTTTCAAAAGGGAAAAAAAAATGAATAGAGTCATGTGTGCCACTTGCAGGCCTGAACTCTAAGACCACCCTCGTATTCTCTGTGATTTCTTCCCTCTACTCCTGACCAGATGCAGAGCATCCCGCAGAAGTGGCTTGGATCCCTGAATCCCCTTGTGGAAGGCCACCCTCAAAACCTTGACTGCTTTGTGACAGGAGCAAGAAACAACTTTGTTGCTTGGAGCCTAAGATTTGGGATTGGTGGGTGCAGCAGTTAGACAACCCTAATACAGGCCACTAAACGCTTAGTCTGTCCCCAGAAGGACCCGTAACATGCTCCTCGTTCCCTAAGACCTGTCTCCAGTAGAGACTACGGCTTGCCCTTCTCTCTCTGGTGAAGGCTGCACAGGTCAAGGAGCAGGATGGGTGTTCCCGTCCCTGATGGCTGCCTCCACTCAGGGAAGCGCCCTGCTCCTGTGAGCCTCATGACAGTTTTCTGGGTCACCTCCAGCCTTCCTAGTGACTGTTCTCTCCCCAAGATGCCTTCGTCCCTTTTCTTGCAGAGTTCTCCTGTATTCCAGGTCCTTCCATTGTCCTGACTGACCCTGGCATCCCTGTGAATGACTGGTGTGTTGCTCTGACCTACCCTTCCATGACTGTGACCTGAAGATTCTCACCTCCACTCCACTCGAGTCACCCATGGCCTGGCCTGGCCCAGCCCTGGCACCCCCTGGACTGCTGCACCTCTGATCCTACAGGCATAGGCAGCCCTTGAAGCCCACCGCTGGCTCTCCTCGTAGCTTCTCGCCCTCTTGTCCCTACCACATGGTCCTCTGAGCCCCAACTGCACTGAGGGTCCTGAGGGTCCTTCTGCCTCACCCACCTAAGTTGTCTTGGATCCTTGGTTTTTACTCTGTCCAGCTCAGATCCCAAAGATGCCGACCAAGCCCTTGCCTGACAGCCTCCCACCACCCCTGCACTGGGGCCGTGCGCTGGGCAGATCTGGCTTTCTGTCTCCTCCATCATGCTGAGCACACATTTGCTCATCTATTTCCTTTAAACTCATGACTACGCCCCTTCTCCGTGGGCTCCTGCGCTGCACAGCAGCCTCCTCATCTCCCACTTCCTTGAGTATTTCCTGTTCCTCCTCTCTTCTTGGTGGGTCACACAGATGCCTGCAGGGGCTGACCCTCAGGGGCAGGGGAAGGGCATGGGAAGGGCAGGGGAAGGGCACGGGAAGGACAGGGGAAAGGCAAAGTATGGGGAGGCAAAAGTAAGTCGACGTTCAGGTTTGCTGCAGGAATTTCTACTCCAGTATCCAGAGAGCTTGCAGGAAATGAATTAAAGTTCTTTAGGCACTGTGATTTTGCAGATAAAAACTTAAAATTTTACGTCAAAGGTCTCCAAGAAGAGCAGGTGTGCACAGGCCTGTGTGGGGCTATCCGTTAGTTATTCATTCAGTCATCAGGCAGCAAATACTTATTACTGTCCTAGGGACAGGGAATACAGAAATGAACATGATGGATTCATTCCCTACTGTATTAGTCAGGGTTCTCTAGAGGGACAGAACGAATAGGGTAGATACATTAAGTAGTGTTAACTCACACAGTCACAAAGTCCCACAGTAGGCCGTCTGCAAGCTGAGGAGCAAGGAAGCCAGTCTTAGTCCCATAGCTGAAGAACTTGGAGTCTGATGTTCAAGGGCAGGAAGCATCCAGCACGGGAGAAAGATGGAGGCTGGGAGGCTAAGCCAGTCTAGTCTTTTCACGATTTTCTGCCTGCTTTATATTTTGGGAGCTGATTAGGTGGTGCCACCCAGATGAAGGGTGGGTCTGCCTGTCCCAGCCCACTGACCCAAATGTTAACCTCCTTTGGCAACACCCTCACAGACACACCCAGGATCAATACTTTGGATCCTCCAATCCAATCAAGTGGACACTCAGTATTAACTATCACACCTACCCTCATGGAATGTAGATTCTAAGTAGGGAAGACAGACAATAAGCAAAAAAGAAATGAAAAATTCCAATAATGACAGGTGCTAGGAATAGAGTTAGGGAAAGTGAGTGTCTATGGGGAAGAGTGAATATTCAGGTGAGCAGGAAAGACCTCTTGTGCAGATGAAATCTGGGCAATAGCAGAAAGATCAGAGGGACTCAGTCACATGTAACTGGGGGTTTGGAATTCGGGAGTGGCATACATTTTAGGCCAGGAAAGGACAAGTGCACAGGCCCTGAGGCTGGGACCGGCTGGGCAAAGCTACAATAGTAGGGAAGAAAGAACAGCCTGGCTGGACGTGACTGGGAGGAGTGAGCTGGGAGGGGAGGATGGAGAGGAGCAGGTGAAGGTCAGATGCGGAAGGACCCATAGGGCAAATGAGGAGTCTGGGTTCACTGTAAGTTCAGCTGGAACATTTTGAATGGACAATGCCAGGAGTGGCTACTTTTTGAAGAACCTCTGTGCAGTTCTGAGGTTGGTGTAGGCTGTGTCTCCTGGGGTGAAACCCTCTGGCCATCGTCAACTCCTCTGTGTTTTTCTGACTGTGCCGCACCCTAGGACACTTTCCTGGGCACTAGGACACCGGGCTTCCCGGGGAAGGCACAGTCCTGCGCTGTGACCCTGGAGATCCATTCCTCATTGGGCCCACACCCAACGCTGCGGGGGGAAAGGCGGGACCTGGGATGCTGGAAAGGGGTACTCAGGAGGAGCTTGGGCACCCACCACGATCCCTGTTCTGCTTGAAGCCTGGCAGTTCTGTCCATTCCACCAGCTCTGGTCAAAGTTGGTGCTTCTGAAAGTCGAATCTGAAAACTTGCATGACAATAATATTTGGAAACAGTCGTTCCCACAGGAGATCTTTGAGCCTTATGTTCAGCGAAGGGTCAGTTCTGACTCTGAAAGTGAGCAGAGCTCAGGGGGGCCAGGTGCTGGGGAGTGATGCCATCAGCACCAGGGCAGGCCTGTTGTCGTTTCCAGCTGCAGAGTGCACCTGTGAGAGGGACAGACTCTTCCCAGTGTCTGTCCTGATTCCCTTCTGTCCAGACTGCGTTTCGGTCCCTTTTCATCCACAAATAAACCCTTTTCCCCATCTCTGGGCTGTGTAGGACCCTCGGCCTCCCTCGGGAGATCTGCTTGTGTTTTATACACACGAGGGTCTGCGTTTGGGGCTTGTTCCTCCCCACAAAGGATGCACGTGGAGGCTGCTCAGCAGTTGCGGGAGGGAGGCCCCCTTTACTACCCGCCTGCACTTCTCTGCCAAGGCACACCCAGGCCTCCTGGCCTCCGGATGAGAATCATGCTCTTTGTTGCTGGTGATATCCCTCAGAAAGCTTCCAACTGGTTCTGCTCTGAGAGTGGGGCACTCTGATGAGGAGATGCCCTCAGTCTGCTGGTCAAACCCAGCTGTTCTCAGGGCAGCTGCCAGGGCAACAGCAACGACACCAGCGGAGAAGCTGAAATTTCCCAAGCACGATGGTAAATTCTGTATGTCAGTGTGACTGGGCCAAGGGACAGCCACAGACCTGGTAAAACACTGTTCCTGGGTGGGTCTGTGAGGGTGTTCCGCGAGAGATGA